AAGATCAGAGTGAAAGAGTGTCTTTGGACACAACAGGACTCATGAACTCACAGAAGCTGTGGTTGCCCACACAGGACCTGCACAAGATCAAGTCAGTCAACAGTCTGGCATGGAGGGGGTGGGGCTCATGAGCCTCCACCCCTAAATGAGAAGGCTAAACAGTTGATGGCTTCTGGAGGAGGGAGATACAGTCTTTTTAAGGATGTGGCCTGTGGTGATTGAATGAAAAATGTCCCCAATGGAGCAGAGTTAATTTTTGTTAAAATATAGGTTCAAGTATTCAAATACTTGCCCCAGACTGGTTGTATTGTTAGAGAGGTCACAGAATCTTTAGGACATACAGAAGTATGTCACTGGGAGTGAACTTTGAGAGTTCATAGCCTTGTCCCACTTCTAGTTTGCTCTCGGTTTAGCATTTACGATTGGAGACATGAGCTCTCAGCTTCCTGCAGCTGCTGGCGTGCCTGCCATTTGCCACCGTGCCACCCTGCCATAATGAACTCATCGCTCTGGACCTATGAGCCAAAATTAGCTCTTTGTTCCATAAATTACCTTGCACATGGTATTTTGTCATAGCAACAGAAAAGTAACTGATACATGCCCCGATAGGTTGACCACACTACAGTGAAGGGTCCCAGGCATAGGAATATATATTTGGTCAGCACAGAGTGGACTCAGTGGATTACCTTTTTAAAAAAGCATTTTTAAAAGGACATGAAGCTGGAAGAGGTGGGGAGGTGAGGGGACATGAAGCTGGGAGAGGTGGGGAGGTGAGGGGGGATCTTGACGGAACTAAGGGGAAAGGCTGGGGGACGAATATGATCGAAATACATTGCAATTCTCAAAGAATTATGATATTAGAAACAAGATTTTACATTTAATGTTATATTAAAAATAAGGAAAAAGAAAGCTTACTAAGCACACCTCAACTTCTTAGTAATATTACTGATACAATTATCATTAATACTATTACTGTCTGTTTTGTCTGAATAAGAATATCCCTTGCAGTTCCAAGTATTTGAATACTTGTCCCAAGTTGGTGGCACTGTTTTGGGAGACTTAGGAGGTGCGACCTTGCTAGAGGAAGCGCATCACTGGGAGAGGGTTTTGAGAGCCCATAGCCTTGTCCCACTTCAGTTGCTCTTTCTGATTCCTGTGTGTGTTTGAAGACCGGAGCTCTCAGATTTCTGCTCCTGCTGCCCCACACGATGGCTCTGATCCCTCTGGAACCATAAGTCAAACAAACTCTTCCTTCTAAGTTGCCATGATGTTTTATCACCACAGCAGAAAAGTAACCAGTACATGCTAACACTATTACTAACAAATATAATATATATTATATTATATTATATATATATTAGTAAATATATGTATTTCGTATACTACATAGTAAAATCATCACAATCTAATTATAGCC